TTGCAAAATGGATTATTTGACTTAACAACCAGCACTTTGCTGGACTTCTGGTTATTTTGTCGGTAAAGAAATTTTCTGATATTTAAATTGTCTCACATTCAACCTTTTGAATGCTGACTGTTTCAAAAGAGATTTCTTTCTTTCTGTTTGTCATTTTTAAGTTTTTAGTTTAAGAAGTATTTCTGCTAGCTTGTAGATATGCATTTTTAAGAATTCAAAATTCAAGTTCATTCATGATTAGACTAAGTATTCAAACAAGGCACTGAAATGCAAATGTTCTGTGAGGTTTTTCTGTAATTTGAACAACATTAATCTGTCCAGATATTTCTCAGTTCTAACACCAAAAAGCTAGCCCTATTCAAATCAAAGGAAATCAGAGTATATCATTAAGATAACTTAGAAAGTTGTAACAAATTCTAAAACAACATAAGCTATTTTTCATTTCCTCAATACACAGACCCATCTGAAATGAACGGTGACATCTTTTCTTAAAATTTGTAATACATCAAGCCCGTATATCTGTGGGCCTGGGTGTAGTGTCTTTAGAAAATCATCTGAGTAGAACAACTGAGCTGGTAACAGTCTGTTAAAATAACCTTTAAAAAAAATTCTGTTGTACATCATCACATTGGTACTGTGTTTCTGGCCACCTGCATCCTTAGAGACAGCTACTCACAAGTCTGCATTGTCCTTTGCCTTCAGGAGATTGAAAATGGTACACGGGAAGCAAATAGCATTGTAACCTATGGATAACTTGAAGACCTAGAGTGACACAGTCAGGAAGAGGAAGGGGAGGAGGAGTTCCTCAGATTGTGGAGTTCAGGGGTGCTGCAGCATAGAAAGGGTGGAGTACAGGCATTTGCCCTGCAAGACTTACTGTACAAGGGCTGGTCACACTACTGAGTGAGACCCTGGGTGTTTGTATTTGTAGTGTTTTCCTACCGAGATAAACTAGTTTTATTTGTTCTGTGAGGCTCTTTCTTTGTTCAGAAAGGGTAAAGCAGCAGCAGTATGAGATCCAGTAAGAGTGAAAGAATGTTTCACTTCAAACATTCTGTCTACAAAACAGGTTTTCTGTATATAGCCACCAGAAGTCCTCTTGGTGGAGTCAGATGTCTGAATTTTTCTCCTTCCAAATAACAGAGAATACATCTCATCTGCTAGAGTTTAATGGGATCTTTAAGCAAAAATACAGCTTACACGAATTTGCAAGAAAAGTGTAAATTGCTGAAGATCCCTCATTAGCTCAATGAGATGTAACAGCAGAAACAGACACAGCAAAGTCACATGCCAGCGGCATGAAATACAGTATGATCTCTCTTATGGCAGTGCACCTGGGAGCTAGCCACATGTCCTGGACTGCACTCCTTCCATGAGCAGTCATCCTTTTTTCTTTGTTCATGTAGCTTTTACTACCATTAAGACGTCAGAATATGTGGAAGAAACAGTTTCTGCGTGAAGAACAGCTGTTTAAAACTCCACGTAGGTCTACTTTGGTATTCCCTTCATAATAATAATATAAAGTTCTTCAAGAAAACCTTAGAGGTATCTTAATCCATGTTTTTGAAGGCAGCTGGGTCTGAAAATCAAATGACAATTACATCATCATCATGTAAAACAGACTTAAACTTAAACCACTGGAATTTAGTTCCAGCTATATAAGGTAATTGTGTAGAAGTAATCCCTCAAAAAGTTTTGAAGTTAGTAAGTAGCTGTTTGGATTAAGTGAATTACATTCCTATTTTAGTACATCATTTCATGCTGTTCTAGCAGAGATTATGTGCAGCCTTCAGATATCAGAGGTAATACTCCATTGTTTCTTAGTAGTAAGGTGATTCAACACCATAGGAGTAATCCCCTTGAAATCAGTAAGATCATGATCAATTTTTACAGGCATGTGGTGAACGAGGACAGAATTAAGAGATGTGATAAAGAGATTTTGCTATGCTGACAGTTGAAAATTTGACCACATTACATTTGACATGACATTTTCATTTGAGTTTGGAAGAAGTTTTCTTCTCATCCCTTCCAGACTGTGAATCCATTTATATGCAGCATGTGCATTTTCATTTTATGTAGGCATATGAACTGTTTTGCCTCTGTTGTTGTGAATTTGAAAATTAAAGCACAGAGGCAAATAAGGGCTAAGAAAAAGTTGTTACTTTTTCATATGTCTATGATAAGGTTTCTATAAATGCTGTCTTATACATATCTATATATATGTTCTTATGTTCCTCCCCCACCTTATGAAGGAGGAAAGGGATAAAATGAGGCTCACTAGAGATGAGCCTGTGGGAGCAGTGCCAGGGTTGGGGCTGAGACAGTTAGCTCAGCTATTAGTGCATCTACACCAAGGCATGCAGGAGAAGCTGGAAGCCATAATGCAGCAGACAAACGAGGACTTAGTTGCTGGGTAAAGGACAGAATGGATGACCAGGCCCAGAGAGTGGTGGTGAATGGAGTTGCATCCAACTGGCGTCCAGTCGTGAGTAGTGATCCCAAGGGGCTGGTACTACCATGTTTAATATCTTTATTGATTATTTGGATGAGGGGATTGAGTGCACACTCAGTAATTTTACAGATGACACCAAGCTGGGAGGATCTGCCTAGGGGTATGAAGGCCCTTCAGAAGGATCTGAACAGGCTCGATTGCTGGGCTGAGGCCAGTTGTATGAGTTTCATCAAGACCAAGGGCTAGGTCCTGCACTTTTGTCACAACCCCAGGCAATGCTATAGGCTTGGGGCAGAGTGGCTGGAAGACTGGAGAAAAAGAAGTGGACCTGGGTAAATGCTCATCTGAACATGAGCCAGCAGTGGCCCAGGTGGCAAAGAAAGTCAGTGGCATCCTGGCTTGTGTCAGAAATAGTGTTGCCAGCAGGAACAAGGAGGCGGTTGTCCCTCTCAGACTGGTGAGACTACACCTTGAGTACTGTGCTCAGTTTTGGATTCCTTACAAGAAAGACATGGAGGCCCTGGAGCATGTCCAGAGAAGGCAGTGAAGCTGGTGTGGGCACTGGAGCACAAGTCCTATGAGGATTGGCTGAGAGAATTGTGAGTTTACTCCGAAGGAAGTTCAGTGAAGACCTTATAGATCTGTTCAACTACCTGAAAGGAGGCTGTGGCGAGGGATTGGCCTCTTTTCCATAACGAGTGATAGAATGAGAGTAATAGCCTCAAGTTATGCCAGACGAGGTTCAGGCCTGAGTATTAGGAAAAATTTCTTCTCCAAAAGAGTGGTCAGGAGCTGGAATGAGTTGCCAAGGGAGGTGGTGGAGTCAGCATCCTTGGAAGTGTTCAAGAAAGGTGTGGTAGGTGTGGTACTAAGGAAGAAGCTTTAGTGGGCAACACTGGTGGTAGGTGGATGGTTGCAATGGATGATCTCAGAACTCTTAGCCTTAATGATTCTGTGATTGTGTGGTTTTAAATGTTGCACGTACTTGCTATCTCAGCTTTTTGAGTATCATACAGCTTAATGCAATTCCTAAAAGCTGAGAAAGAAGTGCACTGGTCTAGTTTCTCCCTGCTTTGCCATATACTTGCAACTTGGAGAAAGCTGCACAGACTTTTTCCTCCAATATCACTGTTCCAAGCTTCCTTGTTAAGTGGCACTGGTTACAATTAAGTTGTCTTTGATTTCAAAATATAAAAATTCATATCACATTTCTGTTTTTTTTTCTTCTATTACTCTCAGTTATCTGCCATAATAAGCACATAGGCAAGTTTTGTTAGCAGAATGTACAAATCATCCTTCTGCTTGGGAGCATATGGTAAGAGATAAAAGACAAGCATCTGTATTTTCCGTGGCTGTTTTCTTTGTGTTTACTTTGGGAGTTCTTTGTATGTTCCTTTGAAGCAGCTGTTTTTTCTATTATTCTTGTGGACAGGCCAGTAATTACACTTGCTTCAAGTTCTAGCAGCCAAATTGCAGTTCACAGGGTCAGTTTTATTAGCTTTATTAGTGAATTTCCAGCTTTAACCTGTACCCAACCATGCTTCTGTACAGTTCTATACTGTTGAATCAGCAAGTTTTACAAGCCTTCTCTGAACACGTCATGGAAGCTTTTAGGCTTTGTAGTAGGATCATGCTTCAGATAGGGTAGTGACTTCAGTTGATCCAAGTGCGGAGGTAAGCTTCTCCTTCACTATGTGACTTTAATGTGGATTTTTTTAACCTGTGCAAGGGCAGTAGGTATGATTTTAGAATATTTATGAAAGCAGTACATTTATTTTAGCTAATGTGCCAGGTAGATAGGTAGAGTTAACATACAACTTAAGTACTGGTGCATGTGGTGTCCACGCTGCAATGCCCTGTTGGCCTTTGTTAGCCAAGAAGTAATCAGCTGGAGATGTGTTGGCCATGCAGAGCTGTCTTCTGGATCTCTGGGGCAGGGTTTACCTCAGGCAGTTTTGTGCCTTTATTTTCTTTATGCTAGTGTAGGGTTGGTTTGTTTTTCTCCTGAGTTATTAGTTCTATCTCAGTAATTTCAGGTCTGCCCTAGCTCCTTAAACATATTTTACTCTTTATTGGCTTTGGTTTGGGATAATATACTAGACAAAGTTGTCCATCTGCATTTCCCAAAACTGTGCCTTCAAGAGACGCCTTTAGTCATAGACCTAGTGCATTTGAGGAAGAAACACCAATGATAAATGGCTATTTAGTAGCAAGTCCTATAATAGAAAACAGTGCTAAGGGTAACTTATTTTCAGTGCATTTGTTGACAACTTGTAAATTACTTTCCCTTTTTGATCTAATCGAATAGTGAAATTGGGGCATCACTGTATAGTTTTGCTTCAACAAATCAACACATTAGCACTGTAAACTAGGGCTGAAATTGGTTGTAGAAAAATAATCAATTTTGTTAAGTTTTATTTTACTTACATACTTGAAAATTTGGATAATAAAATAAAGAAAAGCAGTGACCATTTAAAATATTTCTTTCCAACATCATGCATTGCATTTTCTTCTGTTTTATGTAATTATCTTTCTACTTTGTTTTTAGGAGATTCTTAAGAATGAGATGTACAGACAAGAAATGAAACAGAAAGTCAAAGATGTGTATGAAAAGGATAAGCTCCTTCAGACCAAGGAATATAAGGAGGGACTTGTTGCTGAACCACTTCATGCTCAGATTAAAGGCCATGCATCAGCTCCCTACTACGGAAAGAAAGAGCCGTCCCAAGACCCAACAAGCACCGCGAGTACCTTTCAGCCGGGTTCCTGGATGCCACCAGGAAGTGACAGTAGTAAAAAGAACCAGCTTTAATGTACAGATATTGCCAATAGATAGATGCTTTAATAGGCAACATAAACAGCTGTTATATATAGTGGGTGTGCAATAAAGGAGTATTAAATCCAAGTTTCATTTATTTTTGCACAATTGTTCAGAGAGGCTTAATTGTGCCAAACTACTACAAAATATTTGAATTCAGTGGAAAACAGGATGGGTTACTGAGGAAGTTCATTCTCAAATGTTTCTTTTCCTGTTATTGATTGAATCACTGAAGATAAGTTTTCAAGGTAATTTTCTCAAATGACTCTAAATTGCTTTTTTCTTGAAGATGGATTTATCTTTAACTTTGCGTTTGATGTAGTAAATTTCAGTTGATTAGTACACATAATTATCTTCTCAAACATAGGTGTTAAAAGTAGTTCTTAATTCCATGTTAGTTCCAGTTAGTTTCCATGTCTGTACCTGTATGCTGAACTTTCAAGCTTCTGATAATTGGACAGAAAAGTTCACTTCACTAACAGGAATCACTGTAATACTGCAGTAATTTTGGGCATTTTTGTGATTTATTTTAATAAAGGAATTACTATATCTGAATAATGTTTGAGTTGCTACCAGCAGTAAGCATGGGATAGATTCAGTCTGAGTTAAACTGTTTATCACTATTTTAATAGAGGTTGGAAGCATCTAGTAGGGCAAACAGAAAATAGCTAGATGGTTCTGGGAGAAGAGGTTATTCCTGATATCCACCCAAAAAATTAATTTTTACTTGCTTAGAAATGTTTGAGAAATTTATGTCAAAATAAAAGTCACACAATATTTTTAAAAAGTATATTTTGAAAAAGTATCAAATTTATTTTAAACCATGTAGGTACGCATTTTAAACTATCTAGGTATCAAAGGTGGAATACATACACATTTGACAACATTTCCAAGAGTGGTGATTTAATTTCATGTACCATAAAGTGTCAAAACATAATTCTAATAATGCTTGCTGTTCTGACCAACAGAACTGAAAGATGGTCATCAGATACTGGTTGCAGGTAGGTACTTCATATTCACTTCAAGTCATTTCACTAAAACTTCCCCTTTATCCTGCTGCTATCAGCCAGTTTTGTAAGTCTCTGCTGAATGGGATGTTATCTGAAGATTTCACTTTTAACCATATAACGGACTAGTTGCTAGAAAGAACAGCTCCGTGCTGCCATTTAGAAATATGCTAAGTCTAAAAACCTAATGACTTCCACAAACTCTTTAGAATCTTTAGAATTAGGCTGAAAAAAGTCAGGCTGTGAAAAATTAACCATTTGTTAGAAAAAGGTGAATTGGAATTAAGGTTAAAATTTTTTTGCATATTTACAACAGAAACCTCACTTGGACTTTTTCTGCTATGCCAGCGTTTCATAACCTGGGGTACAACAGATCTTCAGGAGCTGTCAGAGCAAAACGATACCACCTAAACTCAGAAGGTCCTAAAGCACAGGTAGCTAGAAGGCCAGCAAGTAGGAAGAATGTGTGTCACCAGCATGCATATTCTACTTGGGTAGTCTCCCATGGCCAACTGCTACAGGTCACAAAAGACAGAACTCGAGGCCACCTGGGCCTTTCATCTGATCCCACTTATGGCTATTCTTTGAGGCAAAAAATCTTCTCAGACAAACAAGTTAGAGATGGACTGTTCAGGTGATAATTACGGAAAACCAAACAACACGACAGCGTACTCTGTAGAACACGAGTAGCCTCAGACAAACGAAGGTACTAAAGACAAGCAGTTAGTTTCCCAGAGTTTGGGCTGAATCTGAAGACTGCTGATGGGTGGGTTGTAGAGGAAACAGAAGTCAGTTTGGTTCATGGTGCATACAAGCCCCACCAGCTGAGCTACTGCAGACTTGATGGGCATGCAGTGAATGAACTGCACAGCCATACGCACTGCACGCATTGAAAGCGTGTCAGTAAAACAACAGCAAACAAGAATCTTGGAAGACAGATGCTCCACAGCTCTGCTGCAGGTGTACCAGAACCTCCCTTCCCGCAGTCCAGTTAAACCAGGAACTGCAAATACATGTAAGCACAATGTGAACTACTGCTTCAATGGAGAAGGGTGTGCTACACTAAAAAACCAAAGGGCACAGCATTAAGGAGTCATTTACATTATCCCCATAATTGGACTCTTTTTGAGTCATAGTTCAGCTAAAGAAAAAGATATGCCCCTAATGCTCCCCAACTATTTCATTTTTAAATATAACATGCAAATTTAGAGAAGCAATCTGCACAGAAACATAAGCAAGAAATGAAGTGACTGGGGCAGCTTCTAACAAAGATGATTTCAGCAGGAGTTAGAATTTCATAATTCAAGAAACAATGGCATCAAGTATCAAAGGATGGTTACAACACAAGACGTACAGCAGTGCTTCATTAATAAAGTGAATTCTCTGCCCAAGGAAGGCTTTTCTTGCCCATTTAATCCTTCTTTGCTCGTTTGGCCTTTACAATGTTCTCCTGGCGTTTCCGTTTCTTCTTCTGCTCTCGCTCTCTGGTCTCAATCATTTTTGCAAGCTTCCACGACAGTGCTGCACTGATGATGAACAGGGGTGTGAGGACCAGGATCACCGTTGTGAGGAAGCCATAGGGGTCCTTGGCAGCCCATTCCACAATGTACACAGCCCAAGCCTTCACGTCAAACATCTCAGCTGCTTTTTTACACTGTAGAAAAAGAAGTCTGAGTACTCAGAAAAACTGACGTGAACACACACACACATTCCTATTTTAAGCCATTGTTTTTCATTACTTGTGGGTTTATTTCTGCTAGGAGTTAAGCACTGCCCAGTGTACAAGTATAATATAAATGACAGAATCATAAAGGCTGGAAAAAGTAAGATCATCTAGTCCAACCATCACCACCATACCTACTGACCACGTCCCTCACTCCACATCTACACGGCACCTGATCACCTCCAGCGAGTGAAGTGACCCCGCATCTCCCAGGGCAGCCTGTTTCAATACCTCACCGCTCTGAGAAGACTCTCCTTGGTATCCAACCTGAACCTGCCCCAGTGCGACTGGGGGCCATCAACTCCTGTCCTATCTCTATTACACAGAGGAGAGGCCGACCCCAACCTCGACACAATTTTCCTTCAGGCAGGGTGCAGAGCACTAAGGACTGCCCTGAGCCTCCTCTTCTCCAGACTAGACAACCCCAGTCCCCTCGCTTATAAAAAAAAATCGAGTTACTTTTTGCGGCAGACCTGCGAACACAGAGGAAAAAGCACGAGCTGCCGTCAGAGCAAGAACCGGGAACAAAGGTTCGTCTTTCTCCGGGCCTCACTGCGGAGGGTTTTCAGCCCGAGGCCGCCGTCACCACCAGTCACGCGCGAACACGCGGCCCGGCCACGCCGCAGCCCCGCGGCCTCCTCCCGCCCGCTCCCCACGGCCACATCTCACCTGCACCAGCAGGAGGGCGGCGCCGCGGGCGCGGCAAGCGACGGACGGGCAGCACCGAGGTCCCTGCGGAGAGAAGACACAGCCCGTGAGGGAGACGCGCCCGGCGCCGCCCGGCCCGGGAAGCGCGCCGCCCGGCTCGGGGAGCCCCGCCCCGGGAGCGCGCGGCGGCAACGCGACGGCATCGCGGGCGGGCGGGCGGGCGGGCGGGGGGGGGGGAACCGCGCCGCCTCTCGCTTTCCTCCCGCCGGCGCCTCCTGCCCGGCCGCCCCCCGCCCCGCGGTACCGCTACCCCGCGGAGCGCCGCGCTACCGAGCGGAAGCAGGAAGCGGGAAGCGGGAAGCGGGAAACGGGAAGCGGGAAGCGGGAAGGCCGACGCCCCGCCCCGCGCTGCGGCTGCCCAGAGGGGCGCTGCCGGCGCCCCGCGCCACGAGTCCCCGCCCCGCCCCGCCCCGCACGCGGTGACGCGAGCGCAGCCGGCGGGGTGGGCGCTGTGCTGTGGGGAGCCGTCCCGCCATCGCTGTGTGCTCGGGGTGTTTCTCTGCAGCCTAAAAGCAAACGCCACCGCGGCGCTGTGGTTTTGCAGACGTGCTTTTCTTCCACGAACGCTCTCACAGGAGAGACCAGGCGAATAAAAACATGCTTTGCCGGAAGAGAACCGTTGGCAGAGAGTTGACCAACCTGACGTGTTGTCATCGGCTTCCCAGAACCGGCCTGTGGTGCCAGCTCGTGAGAAACTCAGCTCCGTGCATGAGTTATTCGGCCGTGCGCATGGCGTTGCAGCTCTGCGGTGTGAGCCGCTGCTTGAGCTGGGGTTGGACAAGGTTAGCGCGGTGGAACTACCTTAATTTGCCAGGGCAGAGCTGTGTTAATGTCGTTACCCTTCCAGTACTTAAAGGGGGCTTGTGAACGGGAGTGGAATCGTGGCCTGATAGTGACAGGGCAAGGGGGAATGGCTTTAAATGGAGAGAGAGGAGGTTGAGGTTAGCTGTGAAGAAGAAAGCCAGTTCAGTTCAGTTGCACATACAAAAATAAGCCCCGACTCCAGCAACAGCTGGCTCTGTTCTATGGCCTCTTAATATCATAACCCTTAAAGCTACTGAAGAGTTAGCTTCTAGTTCCAGCCTTCCCCAGTAGGTCCCCCCGACATTTCCATCTATCTGTTTCTATCTCTGTCTTTTCTAAGCTTTATCAATACTAATTTATTAAGTTCTTTATCAAGAGGATGGTGAGGTGCTGGCACAGGCTGCCCAGAGAGGCTGTGGTTGCCCCGTGCAGCCAAACAGGGCCCAGAATTCCCAGAGTTCTTACAGCAAGCAGCACGACTGCCAGCACACCACTGGAATGCTTCACAAGACCTCATTAGGTGTGTGTTTATTTCACTGCAATTATGGCGGCTAATTGCTTGCTTTGTAAAACTGCACCTTCTTTAACATCTCTTCTAGGATACTTTTTAGTGACCATTTCTGTTAATTTCTGTCTTTGTGCTGGTGCGCTAATTAAGCCAAGCACTTTTTAATTCTGAAGCTCAGTTTTAAGTGAGAAAATTGGAAAACTTTGGAAGGAGCGGGAAAGGTCTTATACACTGGTATAAGATCACATCATTTGAAGTGTGTTTTGCCAGTCATGGTTTGGTGGTTTGTACTGAAGGATCCAATGTTTTACTTGGGGTCATTCAGATACCCAGGACAGGAAGGAACCTCAGTTAGGAGAGAAGTAAGCGCGTTGGTGACTACATGACCTCAGTGCCAGCAGCTGCAGATGTAACATCAAAATATCACACAGTAAGGACGTGTGAACCGTCAACTTTGCTAAAATTAAACCACTAGTTAATTTTTAAAGTTTTCATACGTATCTGTACAGCACTGAAGTTAGTTTAAATGCAATTTCGTGGCAGCGTGGTGGAGTTGATGGGCTTTGCTGTCCTTTGCCACATTTTCAAAGGGGTGGAGGAATTGGAATGTTGTTGCTCCAAAAATCCAAATCCCAAAATGATAAAGTCAGATACAATGCAGAGAAATGTGCTCAGAATGTAACACTGGCATGGGAAATTTGCATGAAAGCAAAGCATTTCCTGTGCCAGCAGCCACTGAAGACCCTGTGCTGAGTGTGTGTGGTGAAGACAAGTGCTGAGTAAAAATATTTGTTTCTCTGGATGT